TAGTATGCTTCGTTCTAAATTTGGTAATCAATCAAATTTCTTTATTAATCATCCTGATAGTACAAATACTAAAACATACTTATTTTATGAAAGTGTTCATCTTGTTAAAAATATCAGAAATAATTTATTACACTGTAAAAAATTTTTCTTTCCACCCTTTACATTCAATATAAAAGATGATTCTAATAATTGTCCAGCTGGTCATATTACTTGGGGAGATTTTCATCATCTACATTCTAAAGATAAGAAACTTCAAGGCAGTTTACGAAAAGCTCCAAAAATTTCATATCAGAGTCTTCACCCTGGTAACAAAAAGCAAAACGTTTCTCTTGCACTATCAATTTTTGATGAAACAACAATTGCAGGTTTCAAGAGTTATTTTCCAGAACGTAAAGACATCTCGTTTTCTTACAATTTTTTACAAATGGTGGACTATTTCAAATTCTAAAGAGCGATTTAGCCCAAATAAACTTGGTAATGCGATTATTCTTAATGATGGTAAAACAACTTTTTTTTGACAATTAGCTAATTGGATTGAACTTTGTCAGAAATCTCCATATTTTACTATATCACAACAAACATCATCGGCTCTCATCACAACTCTGCGTTCTCAAGCAATGCTTATAGATGACCTTATTGAAGAAGGATATTTATATGTACTTACTTCACGGCCTCAAAGTGACCCAATAGAGCGTAGATTTTCGCAATATCGACAGATGAGTGGTGGAAGATTTCTAGTTAGCTTACTAGAAGTTCAACATTCTGAAACTATTTTAGCATGTCGGTCTTTAATTAAGGAGAATATAAACTTTAGGGATGAGGATCTAAAAAATAACCACAATAACCCAATTAATAATGAATTACTGGCAATATTAGATTTAAACTCAAACGAGATATCTGAATCAAATCTCTCACCTGAAACAGAAGAAGCTGCAACAACAATAGCAAGTTACATGGCTAAAAAATTAATCAAAAGAAGCAAATGTAATTATTGCAAACCTTTGCTAGCTACAGATACATGCAATATAATTATTTGTTCATATCTACAAATACGTTCCAGAGGTGGTCTTACAGTAACATCACTTTCACTTTAAGAATTTACATGTGGAGATTTTGCAGTCTTAGATAACTTTTCAGATTTAATAACTAAACAAGGTGCTAATGTCAAAGACGTATCAAGCTATGTTTTATCAAAATACTTTCCAACAGTTTTTTTTCCTGTGATATACACAAAAAATGGGGTTTTAATTTTACTTCTAAAATCATAATTAATGTTTTTTTTAACAATTAGCAGAACTTAATCAATGCCACTGTACGATAAGATGCTGTTGAAAGTTTTAAAAGTATACAGAAAGAGAAATAACCCTAAATATCTATATCTATATATATATCTATATCTATATATATCTATATTTATATATATATATATGTATATATATATATTATATATATATATATATATATATATATATATATATATATATATATATATATATATATATATATATATATATATATATATATATATTTATATATTTATATATATTTATATATATATATATATATATATATATATATATATATATATATATATATATATATATATATATATATAAATATATATATACATATATATATAAAGATATAGATATATATATAGATATAGATATATATATAGATACAGATATTTAGGGTTATTTCTCTCTCTGTATACTTTTAAAACTTTCAACAGCATCTTATCGTACAGTGGCATTGATTAAGAGCCATTATCTGAGAAAGATAGGCAAAGTCTGGAAGTGATGTCTTTAAAATCTCTTTATTTTCAGATATCTTATAAAATACAATGAAGTTAGGCCACAGTTAAATTTTTATCGAAAACTCCCATTATTTGCGGAGATATAAAGAGTAAGCTTCCAAAAATGAATTTTCGCGGTTAATAGGCTTTGTTAGATTACAAATAACAATCGTGGCCTTAGGACTGCCATGAAACGTATAAGTTATTTTGTTACCTTATACATGCATCTTCCAATATCTGAAAAAAAATCTATGTGCTCAAGCGATAAAAAGCCTAGAGAAGTCCTAGAAGTAGTCTAATTTTGCCATATTCTTAACCAACAAAATACCCTAGCAACGACATAGATATGCTTAGCAACGGCTACTTTTACTCTTTAATAGTTAGTACTCAAATTAAAAATAAATAAAAAATACATTTTTATAACAAAACTGTATAAACTTTACAAAAGTGCTTGATAAAAATTATTTTTTAAGCTTTTTTAATGTAACAAAATGCGCAACAATAGGTTCAAAGAATGCGATGGCAAAAGTGTAATAACCAAAGTATCGAAGTGACATTAAAGATACTTTTTTTAATGACTGTAATGATTGCTACACAAGCAATTCCCTTTGGGCAGTCATTTGTAATACTTTCTTTAGACAATTATTAATGATTGGAAGACTATTTCCTTGGAGACACATTCTTCTCGAAGAATTAGCACATGAATTTAATAAATAGCCATAGCATGAGATGAGAAACTACGAAATAAAGTTTTTTTGTTTTGTTATCTTTTGTTTATTCAATAAAAAATAATAAAATAAAAAATAAAAGTTAAATACAAAATGTCAGAGAGCAACAATATAGTCAGTCTCTATAAAAAATGCGTGTATTTTGATAAAGGACAGACTTCTTGTGGCCCTTTTAAGCGTTGGAAACAACATGGGATCTTTCAAATTAATGAATTAACTGCTGACATAAGTAATCATTTACAAGTACTAAAGGTATAATTTATCAATTAATATATATATTTTTAATTATAAGCAACAATACCTCCAACAAATAGATGACAAATTTAACATTGCTATTTTATAGTTACCGCAGACAAACCAGTATAATGAAAAAACTCTAATTGAAAGTCGATTACAAACTTATCTTTCATGCGACGACTGGTTATGTGCATACCACCGTTTTTCTTTTGGTATTGGATGGAAGCCGCCAAACAGATGTCAATACCCAAGTCATATATTTCAAGCTGGTAAAAAAGCACCAAAAATTAGATCCGTACCTTTGAATACCCTTGCTACTTATAATAAAAGTAATTCATCGCTACCTATTGGAGCCGTATTTTGCTTCAAGCACCTAAAAACTATTTCTATAGATAATATTATTGACATGATAGAACCAATTCCAACAGTAAAGTCTAGTTCTTATGTTGATAAAGTTTATGTTCCAGATTTAGCAATCATTTCAGATAAGACCATCGAAGAATCAAAATTAAAAGCTAGTTCTTTGTGTGAAGCACTAGGAGCAAGTCCACTGTCTTTTCACATAACGCAAAAGCGAATAGAAGACTTAACACAAGGAACTAAACAGAAAGTTAAAAAAAAATTTGAGAAATGTAAAGTGCAGCTCGAGAAGGTATTTGCTGAAGCAATTGGACCTGGTCAATCAGAAGCACTTATAACCCAAGTATTAAACAGTGAAGATGAAAATGTTGCAACTGAAATAGTTCCAGAAGACCTAATTGTACAAGTTAAGATGTTCCAAGAAAGCGATTCTTTAGGAAAAATTCTTTTGCTTTCAGTTGTTAATCATAATAAGTACACTAAAGAGATATTAATGAAAGTCTTTGATTGCAAAAAACATCAAATAGAAAAAGGACGCAAGTTGCAGAAAGAAAACATTGGACTTTCCATACCAAAGAAGGGTAAGGTAAAAATATGCCGAATGCCTCAAGAAAAAATTGAACGTTTTTTGGAATTTTTATTTTCTCGAGGTCTGCTTCAAGATGTAGCATATGGTATAAATAAAATAAAGTTTGACAACGGAGAGAAACAAAAAGTGGCTAATGCCATTTTGATGATGCAGTTTAGCCATACAATCACATTTTATAAAGAAATTTGCCTAGAAACTAATTATGTCCCTATGTCAGATAGTTCTTTATGGAGAATTCTTTGTGGAATAAAACCTTCTCAAAGGAAATCTTTAGCTGGTCTTGATGATGTTACAGCAGCTGGCATGAACGGTTTCCAAACATTAATTGCCATTTCTGAGAAGTGGAAATATAAAAATGTTACTAAGTTTCTTGAAAAAGATAAAAGGTATCTGAAGAGTAATTATCCTTCCAAATGTAGTGAAAATTCAACTTTGCATAGTCACTCAACTTCATTTGCCCTTTCGGATATAGATCCGGACTTAAACTAATCAAACATAACCGCTGACGATGAACAATGCATTGACTGTACTGACCTCATTTCAGTAATCAATCAGGTTCGTGAGTAGGTTATACAAAGTAAAGATGAAGATCTACTATATGATTTAAATGTGGCTACAGAAGATGTTGAAGCCTATATGAAACATCAAATTCGTCATGCGCAGCAAAAAATGGCCAAAATAATGGCTTTTGAGCAACTTGATGAGGAAACAGGATTTTGGCTAAAGGATTTTTGTCAAAAAATATTGCCCGCTAAATTCCGTGAAGGCCAAAAAGAATATTTTGGGAAAAAAAGGAATGACTCTACATGTTGATGTCTTCTTCTTCTATGAAAATGGTCGAATGAAAAAAAAAGTGTATTTTACTGCTGTATATAGATGTGAGCAAAGCCTTGTTGATGTACTCTGTCTCGCTGATGTTGTTTTGGCCAAAGTTAAAAATGATTTTCCTTATTTAAAGAATCTTTATGCTAAGTCAGATAATGCATCATCTTATCATGGAAACTTCAACAAAATGAAAATTTCAAACCTAAATTCTTATGATTATCTGCCGTCATCCCAATCTGTCATTAAAGGGATTGAAAACTTCACAGACATCACTGGGTGGGCATTACCAAAAAGAAAAGTGTTCAGATATTCTTCAAAGCAGAAAACATTGTTAATGCAGATGTTTATGTCTGGAGAAGAACAAAGGAAAAAAATGAGCCCAGAGCAGGTTCACCAGCAGCTAAAGATAAAGTTAAAGCCAAGTGAATATGTGACAACTCAACAAACTCGATCATTATTCTCTAGG